CCTTTTTACACCTCCCTTTATTCATGTGTTCAATACTTTTTCCCTGTGCCATTCCACATTTTTACAAATAACTTCACTTGGGTTGTTACCGACATCTGGTGAAAATTTCATGTCATTAGCACCTCTAGTAATATATTTACTGAGAAAAATGTTGACGTGTTCAATACTTATTTTACCCGCTGTATACCCTGTTGTTGTCTTAAAGCTCTGACATTTTACTGTTAAGGTAAAGTTATGAACAAAGAAAAACAGGAACAATAATAACAAATGTTTTAAAATAAATCCAATTTAATTGAGGTAATCACTTGAATCAAAGCCTCTTATGCAAAGGTGACAGTATATAAATGGTTTTAATCTTTGTTTCAGCAAAAACAGCAAAAAGAAAGACGAACAGTAGCTAATATATTTGTTTTTAGGTACAGCTGCTGCAGATAAACTACTTTCTTCAAATTTGCGTTGACAGCTATATTTTATTATTTTACACGTGAAATGAACCTTTCTTGGGTTTTCTGTTTCTTTTTCCTAATGATGAGTCTTTTTCCTCTTTGTCGTTTAGGATCTTCACTCTGTACAGTAAGTCCCTCCCTCTGGACGTGGCGTGTCGAGTCTGGGACGTTTTCTGCAGAGACGGGGAGGAGAGTTTGTTTCGGACGGGGTTGGGCATCCTGCGTCTGTATGAGGACGTCTTGATGCAGATGGACTTCATCCACATTGCTCAGTTCCTCACCCGCCTCCCCGAGGACCTGCAGCCCCAGACCCTCTTCAGCTCCATGGCAAACACTCACATGATCAGCAGGAACCGCCGCTGGGCTCAGGTTAGTGTTGTCACTCTGCCCAGTCTCTGCAGGCTTTTAGTGATTTTTGTCTTGAATGAGTTTTCTAATAAAATGTACATACAGTTATAAACAGATCCTTATGTCTCCGCTAATATTTCATGGAACTTCCTTTAGCTCTTTAGCAAGTTGCACCTCAACTACAGGTTTTTTCTTCCATCAACCAGCTTCTGACAGGATTTTACTTAGGGCTGCACCGATGAATCAGCCAACCAATTTATCGGCCCCCATTTGCTTAATATTTTGAGATTGGCTGATACTTAGATAAGATCTGAGCCACTGACTCCTTCTGCTCTGCTGTGAGCACTACCTGATGTCCAGTTAAAACAAGTTTGTTTTATTTCAATGTTCAGTCTTTTAAAATACAATAAGATTGGAACATTGACGGTGTATTCTGACCTTACTGACAGTTTCAATTATTTAAAAAAATCTGTATCGACCAAAATCAGAATCGGCCAGAAAACTGCAGTCGGTGTGCCTCTAATTCTGCTATTTGATCACTTTTCTTGGCAGAGTTTGTAAGGTTCATGGCACAGACCTGGCTCTGAAGATTACCGTATTTTTCGGACTATAAGCCGCACCTGCCATTTAAAAAAAAAAAACCCGCGAACATTAACATATAAGCCGCACCGGACTATAAGCCGCACCCTCAACATAAAAAAAACTACACCCAAAATTGTCGTCAAAAAAGTGAATTCAACATCAAAACATGAAAAGCAAACCTTTAGGAATGAAAGTTCGGAGGAATACGGTTCATTTAACTGACCTTATTTTGGTAGTTTTCTTTAACAGTTTCTGATTCAAGAAAACATCTCATTCATCGTCCTCCGGCGCACTGAAACCATCGAAGTCCTCCTCTTCAGTGTCGGAGTTAAACAAGCTGAGAAAAGCTGCGTCACACAGCGGTATCTGTTCAGTGTCGGAGTTAAACAAGCTGAGAAAAGCTGCGTCACACAGCGGTATCTGTTCAGTGTCGGAGTTAAACAAGCTGAGAAAAGCTGCGTCACACAGCGGTATCTGTTCAGTGTCGGAGTTAAACAAGCTGAGAAAAGCTGCG